GAACCGGCGACCTTCTTGCTGCGAGGCAACAATGCTAACCACCGAACCACCCTGCAGCCCCTTTGCTTAAATACATAGCTGTCAGTTTAAATGAATTACCATACAACAGGGCAGAGTTCGGCTCCTGCTCATTCACACACAACATGCCGATTCAAAAGCGAGCCGTCAGTGAAGGATTCCCGAAATAGACACATAAATATCTCACAGAGTGCTCGTTTCATATTAAATGTGTGACTGCTGGTGGTAAAAGTAGCAGTTTTCATTAAAGCCTCGGCTAAGCGAAGTAACGAGTCGAGTGCGTCTCTACCTCTTGTTTGTTGTGCATTGTGTTCTACAGTCTACAGAGGCAGTAAAGGTCAGTTAGTGTAGGCAGAGCTGTGATGACAGTTGTGTTTAGATGTTCTGCTCATAACCGACTTCTCTTTGTTGTGGAGCCTCTGGCTGCGTGTGTGTGTGTGTGACTTTCCCCGTGTGCGTAAACGTGCATCCACAGGTGAGTGTGTGTTTGCGGTCGTGTGTGTGTGTGTGAAGAGGTCAGGATATTTTGTGCCTCCTCAGATGTGCCAGTGCAGTGTGTGATCTCCAGCTCAGCTCTTTCATGTCATTGTTCCCCCCGGTGCCTGTGCGCTCCCTGCGTCCCGCTTGATCTCGGTCCCCCTCCGCCCCCTCTGTCCTGCCAACCTCCTCTCTCTACCTCTTTCTTTCCCTCCATGTGTGTCTCTCTCTCTCTCTCTGTTGCGTTTTTCTTCACTCGCGTTTCTTCAGTCTTCACTCAGCATCAATGGGGGACATCAGGATGTTTTAACATGTTTTAGCCCATAAATCACTGATTGTGTAGACCTTTCTTTTTATGACTAACCATTTTCCAGTGCATAAGGTTTTAGATTAATTCCTTGCCTCCCTGGAAGTAATTGGTTTCCATTCATTTGAATTCCCAGCTCAACACATGTTGGAGACATAAAATTTAATTGAAACGTAATGCAACAGTCTCTGAATTGTTTGGTGTTACAGTTATGAGCAGGTATGTGCTCCCGGGTGGCAGGAAATCCATCAAACAGTTTATGGCATGTTGGTAAGAGTTAAAGTAAAACCATCATAGTCATAAAAACACAGTGAGAGGCAGGATACAAGCAAAATAATTTCACTGTCAAATGATTCAAAGTTGCATCACCTTATGATATTTGCAGCATCTCAACTTAATAAAATGAAGAAAGTGAAATGTTTCGAATAACAGGCCGCAAATCAGATTTTACATTACAGTGACACAAGTTAGACTTTCCACTTTTCTGATTTCTCTTCTAATTGTACAAACATGCTTATAAAATGACCCGTGAACACCACAACCGAATAAACTTTACACCTATGTCCCGTGTCTACCTCCACAGCCACTTTAAGAATTGCCACATAAATTAAAAAACCTGTTTCTTAGGTTTCATAAAGCTTGAAAAGGACACAGGGAGGTTGGCGAACAGCTGAAAATCCGTCAAAACACAGTTTTTAAGAAGGCATAGAACGAGCCACAGTACCACTAATCAGATCCGCAGCGGTCATCCTCCAAAAGTGACGAGACGGACAGTGCACTAGTTGCACAATCTACCTTTAAAAAAACCAGACGGGCCAGTGCTTCAGACTTGGCATAGGGGTTATCAGCAGAAAGCAGAGTTTCTGTGACTTTTTTCCAGCACGATAACGATCCAAACCACACAGCCAAAATCGCTCAGGAGTTTCTAAAGAAGAATAAAGCGAAAACTGTGACCTGGCCAAGTGTGTCCCCTGGTTTGAATCCAATAGAACACCTTCAGGGTATTTTAAAGAGAAAAGCAGAACAACAAAACCTCTTCAACAGGGCATTTGAAAGGAGCAGTCTCTAAAGAATGGCAACTCTCTTGAAATTTGGGTGTCCTCCGTGCTGAGGAGGATTGATTTTATCAAAAATAAAGGTGAACACATGAACTATTGAAAGAAATACTCACTTTTGTTGCACTAACTTCCTACTAGAGGGCCTGTATTATTAATATGCTACATCTAAACTTAGAAGCTGTGGCAGTTTTGAATTGACATTTAGGTGATATTGCACAGGGATGTATTCACTTCTGTTGCATATTGTAATTGACTAAATGTGATGATGCCAGCGGTGTTATAGTTTGGTTACTTTGAAATAACATGCAGACTTTAAAGAGGTAGAATATTGATGGTCATTAGTGTAAAAAAAAGTTTGTTTTCTGATACTAAGGATAAATTATGAACCAAGTTATTTGAGAATAGCTACCACAAACAGAATGCTGTGACTTAAATGAAAGTTTCCATTTTTAATAACCATGCTAAAAAGAAGAAACACTACATTGCTCATTAAACATAACTTCACCCACGACCTTCTGAGATTGCTGATGGCCTGTACACACCTCTTGTCTTCACGGAAATGAAAACCCGTCCTAATTAACACCCGACTCCTCTGCCCTTTCGCCTCTCTTTCTTTTCATAGATATGGGGCTTCTACAAACAAGGCTACAAGTGTAAAGGTAAGAGACTAATTCATTGAGATTCTGTTCCGCGTCTGCTGCACAGATGTACTTGTTCCACATGCGAGGATGCTGCCTTCAAAGCATTAGCGAATCTTTTTGATGCCTTCGATTCTCGCCCATCACACACACACACACACAGACACACACACACACACACACACACACACACACACAGACACAGCCCGTCTGCAGACAAATATCCACATATTTTGGAGTGCTAAGTAAATGTCATCGGCGCAGAAGTCATGGCAAATACATCGCACTATTTTACTCTGTCCACATGCAAAGCTGGATCAGCCCCATCAGCTCCACATACAATAGACAATTATTTGCCCTTTCAGGTCTCCGAGTGGGCCGGTGTTTGAAGAAGAAGCGGCTTCATTTCACAAACGTACATACACACAAGTCAGCAAACCTCCAACACCTCCCAACCCCTGGTACTCCTGGTCATTAGCTTTTATAAATGCACACTCAGCGTGCTCCTTTCCCCTCTGTGGATGTGCTGCTAGTGGTCTGTGCTGATGCTGTAAAGTAAGTAGTGATAATCTGCAAATGTTACACTCTCTAAATAACTTATACTACATATGCTTCCAACCAGATGTCAAGTAAAACCGTTGGAAGTGATGCCAGAAGTGAAATGCAAATCATGCAAGTTTCCATCTGCTGGAGGCTTTCAAGAAGTGATTGATTACAGCTTGGTCTTCTAAATGGGAGAAGTTGGAGTGGGCAGATATTTTACAGGCAGCATTTTTTTTTTAGGGGGCTTTTTCAGTGTTCGATAAATTAGTTTCCGTCGGAGTTTATAGCAACAAAATGTCAGTCAGTGTGTGCCCCTGCAGCTTTTTCTTTCACCGTTTGTTTTGTTTGTATTCTTTGTGAGAAGTGAATCATTGTGTTAACACCGGCTTGAGGGACATGACAGCACGTGTGTGAGTCAGAGGATGTAATGTATTCATGTTCTCCTCATTCTCCTGTTGGAAAAACAAGCAATTCAATTACCAAATCTCTCTTGTCCGTTGTTGGTTTCAGCATTAACAGCTTCCTCGCCCATTCAAGCTTTCAGGTTGACTAACTGGTGCTTATTAAATAGCTTGCAAGTTACCATCAAACATTGGAGTCGCATAGCAACTACGGGTAATTAATGCTCCTTGGGGTCTTTGAGGTCTGTGTAGCCTTCACTGCACCCTGCACCTCGCGTATAGGAGAAGAAAGAAGACACTCGCTAATTTGTTAATTAGCACAGACATGTTCTGCTCGGAGCCAGTGCAATAATTTGGGTGTTTTTAAAGTCTTGTAAAAAAAAATGTCACACAACGCTCGGAAGGTCGGTCAGCTGTTAAAAGGCGAACGTGACCACATGATTGCTGTTTTTGAGCATTTCTTTGCACTGCACATAAAACCAACTCACACACCTCCCCTGAACCCCACTCGCTCTCCCGTGTCTTCTCCACTCTTGACGGAGTGCAGTTCGCAAGTCCGCCCGGGAGTTTTCGAGTGTTCAGGCTTGTTCCATTAATGAGACCAGAGGAAGTCAATGAGAGAGCCCCATAGCCATTCATCCCCATTACCAGTGTTAGCCCATACTCAGAGAGGTAGACAGAGCGGCAGGCACATAATTGAAATGAATCACCTACTGCAGTCCACGAGCGGAGTGTGAGCGCTCCGAATGTGTGTGTGTGTGGGCAGTTGGATGTGTGCTTTGGGGCAGTAGACGTCAGACATTTAGACTTATATAAGAGGCCTCTGAGTGTCTGAATGGATGCGGTGCTGCCGTAAAACCCCTATCCCAACTTTTCACGTCGATACAACAACACCATCACAGCAACAAGTCATGATTTCCATTTCTATTACAGGAAGTGCACTTTTTTCTTTTTTTTTTTTTTGCAAAGAGTTAGATGACACCACTCTCATATCTGTCCATTAAGCACAAAGCTGTTTAGCTTAGCATAAGGATGAGGAAAAGGGAGCGACGCCTTATATTTATTGGAGAGACACATAATGTTGAACAGTTCTATTACTTGTAAATCCCTCATTATTGGAGACATTCTGGGGCTTACTCCATTTGTGGCGGCGTTATATGGCCTCAGAGCAGTTAAAAAAAGGTTTTTTAATTGCCTCAATCTCACCATTAGATAGGCAGTTCATCATGAATGAAGCTAAGTACTTTGACCACTAAATGGGGCAAGAGTTCCTGAATGAAGGAGAAAAATAATTTTGTCCTTTTAACCAGCCTATTACACAGTGAAGAGGTGGTAATGACACGGAATGTTTTAATTTTAATGTTGATAAAAGTGGTGTCAATGAGGAATTTTGGGGTGTAGTGACACCGGTCCGGTGACTCACATGTTTTCTTGCTGCCTTGCTGGATGACCCACCACTCCTCTCCTCTTAGACTCCCCCCAGTTGCCAGAACTGTTGTCGGGCACGCTCGGCCTCACCGTGTGCGTGTGCCAGTGCTCGTGTGTCTGCATGACGTGTCGAAGCACATTTCTGTCGCCACTAGCGCTCCCGTTCGCCCCGATGTTTCAGTCTACGCCCGTCCCCCTGTCTGACCCTCTCTCTCCTCCTCTCTCCCTGTCTCGCCTCCTGTCTCGGCGGTTCTCCCTCCCTGCCCTCCGACGCCGTCGTCCTCCTCTCCTCTCCCGAAACCTCTCCTTGCCGCCCTCTTTCTGCCCCCACATGAACGACCCAGCCTGTGGGGTGAACTGCCACAAGGCCTGCCGGAGCCGCCTGGCCGTCGAGTGCCGGAAGAGGACCAAGAGCATCAGCCACGAGACACCGCCGGCCCTCCAGGCCCGATCCTACAGCTTCCCTCCGCCTGCCAACACCCCGCCCAGCCTGCAGAACACTGGTGAGATGCACACACATAGACGAGACGATCAAGGCCACTCTCATATCTTGTCTGTTGATGTGACATTGAAGCTACTGCAGAAACAGCATGCCTGATGTATGCAAAAGCACAAAAAACAAGTTCCAGAACCTAAATCTTTTGTATAATCCATGCAAAAGCTAAACTGTAGCAGCCTTTGGACAGAGCCAATCCACCTGTTCTCCCTTGTTTCTAGTTTATGTAGGTCCCTGCTGGCTGTAGCTTCACACACATGAGTCTTAATAAAAAAAAATAGAGAGGCTATTTTTCCAAAGTCAAGCATCTCATCCTTCCTTTAACAACTCCCACCTGTGAAGTTTCCATTTTTCCACAGGACATAAATGCAGCATCAGCTTTCCTGACGTCTGAATACACGCAGTACAGTTTGGCTGCCCGACTGATAAAACAGAATTTTCTTTTCCGAATCACTAATGCAGACATCCCCTCTCATAAAATTACAGCTAAAATCATAGCTTTGGGGGGATTTTTTTTAGTTCGTTGCCACCGCTGCAACACCTCCACTTTTTGACGGATGCTTTTGTCCTCCTCCGAGCGTATCGAGCGCTGACATTTGGAAGATATTCTCAAACAAAAGAGTGTAATTTGCAATGGAAATGTAATTGGCCCACCACCGTGAGGCTACTGACTCATTGTGGCAGTGTTTTTATCAGACATTAGCAAAAAGTGGTGCCCTGCCTGCTTCTGTTTTGTGTTGGCGCGAACCTGCTTGATCAGGGGGCTTCACAATGCTGCCAGGCAGATGGATTGGAATGACAAAGAGTCCACAGGCCACACATTTCTCAGCTTTAGGCAGTGTTTTGCATTTTGATTTGATTGTCCAACCTGCTCCTCATCACTTTCCTCTTGCTGTTTTCATCAGTAATCGCTGAAGAGGACATAGAGTCAGTGGAGGAAGGAGTATTTGATGTCCACCTATAACCAGGTGAGAGAAACGTTCGCTGTGAAGAAAAGTCACCCCTTTGCTTTTTTCCCCGCATTCCATCTGTGAGCTTCACTGACTGTTTTCACTGATCTGCGGCGTTCCTAATTGATTTTCACTTGAGCTAATAACACCCTATTTTAGAATTCGCGGTGTCAGGAAGTTCAGGCGGAGTTCATTGCCTCGAGATGCATCACTTGAGGAGCCCGATCAGACTCTCTGGAGCCCCAAAAAATGTCTCTAAACAGCTTTTATCACATTTGCAGTACTACTCCACTGTAAACAGACTTTGATGTGTAAAATCAACTCGGCTCCCTTTTATTATTCATCACGGAGTAAGCATTGTGTTAGGAACAAGTAGTTTGTAGTGAAGCAGTAAGTAGGTCTTTTTGCATTTATCAGATGAGCGTTAAATAAATAGTTTCACAATGTGGGGAATCCATTTATTTGCTTTCTTGCTGAGAGTTAGATTAGAGGTCTGGTGTCACTTCTATTTCTGTCCATTAAATATGAACAAAATCTGCTCAGCACAACTTCAAAAGCTCAGTCGTTAAAATCATTGTTTTATCTAGAGTGTAAAAATGTAAACACATTTGATTTTATGGAGACTATTTCATGTCTGTCCACTGTATCCTGGACATAATGCAACCAGTGGCACTTGCTGCACATATCCAGGAAATAGTCTTTTACGCTTAACCCTGGCATATAAATAATGAGCTTCAGAGGTATTTATGAGCAGGTTTTACCTTCAAACATATCAAAAATATTTCTTCTTTAAAATTGGATTCTCCTCATAAAGAGATCAGTACGTGTAGTTTAATAAGTGTAACCACACTAATAAATAAATAAAAAATAAAAATACCTTGAGGTGTTGTCATCTAACAACCTTTTTTTTTGGCTCGCGGCCCTTTGAAAAACATCAATGCCAACTAAAAAACCTCAAATCACAGTTTGAATTTGAATATGAGTTGTGAGCAGTTCAATCAAAGAGCAGGTTTCCGTTTCCAGATTGTTTGATTGGAACATTTCTCACAAGCCCACAGATGTGAAACTAATTTGTGTTTTACAAGAAAAAAAGCAACAGTAGATAACAGGAAAAATTAAACCCCTAATCTTCTATTAGAGGCACGTTTCTTCTTCCTGAGATGGATTTGATGTCCAGGGTTTGGAAACCACTGTTTTGACAAGTAGGCAAATGACCAATTTAAATAAGAACCACATCCTACAAGTGGGCTCTGGGGCAAAAGTGATCAGTTTGTTTGTTGCATATTTACAGTATTATGCATTGATGATACAAATACTGGAATAATGAAGGTCTTAAAACTATAATTTGTCACCAGCCTTGCTTTATAAGATAATATTTGCAACATTAAGGCACTTAAAAAAAAAAAAAAAGTAACTAACCCTCTGTACTCCAATCAGTTTCTAGGCGTTTTTGGGTCCTGTAGCATTTCTCCTCACTGTGGGCTCATTTTTCACTGCAGTATAAAGTCCTGCACCTTTATGGAAACAGCACAACCATGGCTAGAAGGAGAGAGAATTTTAAAATGTCCTCTGTGTAGTACGTCACAGCTATGATACCAGAAATCATAAAAACAAAAGCAAAAATTGAATTTCTTTGATTATGTAGCATGTGCAACATTTTTCCAGGAGCCCACATGTGTTAAACAAACTGTCAAAGCATACTATATATATTTTACTACTTACATTTTCAATTTATTTCCAATATCCTGACATTTAAGCACAGTTCACCCAAAAAAATCTTGAATTTTTGTCAGTTAACTGCTGGTTGCAAATGATTTACTAATGGCTTATCATTTTTTGCAAGGAAGATTTTTTTTGTTTTTTATAGAATTTGGTAAGTATAGATGCCTTATCTCTGTTTTAACTTTTAAACAAGACATGTAGGGTGAGTTATTTTGATGAAATGGTATAGTTTCAGGCTTAAATTTTTTTTTTTTTTTGACAGAACAGTGTCAAGACTAGTTCCCAGGATTCTGCCTGTTTTTACAGGTTCTGGCTCTGATAAATTGTGTAATTTTGGCATTAAAAATAAAAATAGCATGCTTTTCAAACCTGCTGGTGAGTTTTGGGGTTCAGACGGTTCATATTCTGATGCCAGATTACCTTTAGAATACATCAACCCAATGGACAAATAGGGAATGCCGGGCTTTTGGGGGCCCATGGTGGTTTCAAATCCTCGCCTGCTTTGTCCAGGGACACTACCTGTATACGCTGTTAACACAGTGCTGATGTGTTTTCGTGTAGTATTTTCCTACAGCCTTTAGCAACACCTTTTAATGCTGAATATAAGTGTATATCACAATCCTTGCAGGAGCCTCGAACTGAAGAGCGGTTTTGATGAACAGGCCAGTGACAGTCTTCAGCTCTCAATTTTTAGAATCCCTCCTACGGTTGGTGTGCAAGAGGCCAAATCAGCGACTGTCAGGAGCCAGACAGAGAATGTGTTACAGTGTGTCAGTTTTTACAACCCCTCAGCTCTGAGGAGAAATTGCACTGAACACAAGCCAGGAAAACCTACATGCTGCCACACAGTGGACACATACCGCAACCGCACTCCCCCTCCGACCCAACTCACATGAATGTGGCGACCGATGTGAATGGAAACGTCTTTGTATGGATTCCGTGTAAAATCTTTTGCAGTCTGTGTCAGCAAAGAGTGTTAGTGTAAAATCTTACTATATATATATAAAACAACTAAATCCACAAAATTGTATTTTCTTGGTGGAATGTTAAAGTCACTGAAGTTGATAATTTGAGCACACTTTGCTGCAGGCTGTCTTTTCTTTTGAAACATAAAAGAGGTGCTGTTATTGCCAAGAATGTAAAGCTGCCACCCAGACTAAGCTACGATCTCCTTTATCTGAGAAGCTTTTTTTTTTTTCCTCTTTCTTTCTTGTTTTGTTTATCATATTGTCTTGAAATACATTTCAGTGGACCAACAATGGGACCAATTTTGATGTCAGATAAAATATTGTTGATTTGTGGTGCCCGTCTGAAGTGTGATGACAAAAACGGCCATTTTGCCAACAAAAGAAACAGCTGAAATAACCGTGTAGACAGCTATAATTAGGATGGACTCGTATTTTTTGTCATGTTTACCTGAATATCAGTAACTGTCCTATAGTTATTGCTGTGGTGTTGTTTTCAGTATGCAGTACTGTCTTGTACCAGTGCACTGATAGATGACCTATCCTCTTGCAGTACTGTGAATGTAGCAGAAACAGTGAAACGCTGCTGTCAGATGAAGAACTCATCCTTCCTAATAAATATGTTGACAGCGCGAGAGCGGGAAACTGGCTCGCTTCCCACTGATTCCTCTGTTAGTTCCTGAATGAGCTCTGAAGTTTTTGAGACTGTCATCTCGAATAGAATAATCAAAAGAATCACACCAAAACCGGAGTAATGAGGCTTTTCATTTGACAGCAGCTTATAAAAACATTTCCCTTTGAATCTATTTTAATGTAAGATGTGTTTTTTGCTGCCTTTATCCTGCATGCTTCGTCCTTCACGGCTGTATTCTCTGGCCAGACATCTCTGTTGCTTTTTTTTTTATTTTTTATGTAGCACGCCAAATTATCATTTATTTAGGAAACATGTCTTGGAATTCCAGACAGAGGAAATGTTCCTGTTTTTTTGTGCCTGTTGAGAGATGAATTCAGACTTGCTGTGCCATATTGCTAACTGCTGGTTTGTCATTGAATGAGACTCCTCCCACTGCTGGTATTTATTTTTCCTGTATAAATACATAAATGGATGCTGGTCCTTCTGTTTCACGCCTCGCCTGACGCAGGATGTTTGTTGTTATGCAGAATGATGTCATGCTATTTCTTGTTCCCAGATGATTCCTCAGTATTAAATGCAGCAGGCATCTTTCTATAATGTGGTCTGATTAAAAAATTACGTGACTAATAAGAGTGAAACTGAAAAAAAAAACCCACAAAGCTTCGTCTTGATTTCTAAAAAAAGAATTCAGTCATCTTTTCATTTTGGTCCTCATGAATCAAAAGTGTATTAACGTTGATATTCCTCCATTTGCACTCGAGCGGAGGATACTTTCCGTTTGAGCAGCTGCTTTGATCTGAAAATATTGTCTGTTTTACTTCAGATTGTATATCAGCACCATTAATACTGATAATTTCATGTGAAAGCTGGCAATTTTGGTGATTCATGTGCTACCTTGCAGATTTTCATGTTTTAATTTGAAATTAACATAGAAGAAGAATTACTTTCTCTGGGTTGGAGAAAAAACTCTTCTGGGAGCAGCTTTTCAAATTTTAAAGTTAACCCTCCCCTAAAAAAATACAGCTGTCAGGTCCAAATCAAAGCTATTTTTCTTGGTTCCTAAAAAGGGGGAAAGTTAATGTAATTGTTCTTCTGTCTGAACGTGTCCCTGCATTAAAAGCACAATTCAAAATCCAATAGCCGAGCTGAATAAAACATAAGACAAAGATGTTTAATAGAAGCGAGGTGTGGGATGATTTAGTTGACACTAGCCGCAGCGCTGCTTAATAGCGGAACATTTTCCTACATTTAATACAAAACAGCCCATTTTAATACCGCGTGTATAGCCTGTAGCACATTAAAATATTGATGCAACTTCTTCTTCTTTTTTTTTTTTTTCCCAAACTCAGCCTTTTCTCAGATTGTTTCGCAGCAACACAACAGAGAAAATGAAAAATATTTGAACTGCATCCGCTCCACTTACTCCACATTCCACAACTTCTGCCATCCTTCATGTGACCATGATCCACTGCCCTCTGCCTGTCTATTATAGACATTAATAACCAGCCCTGAATGAGCCTTGGAGTCGATGCCACATCTAATTACTCTCAGAGATGAAGTCAGTCTGGGTCTCTGATTGCCCGGCCCCCTCTCTGTATGCTCTGTTCAATGGGAGGACATTGATCTAGCTAGAGCCGGCCTTTGAGTCGGCTCATATCTCATGCAGCGCTATGATACTGCTAAATGCTCTCATGTGTGACTATGTTGACTAATGGTAAGCTGATGAACTGCAGAGGTGGTTGGAACTTGGCCTATCGACCCCCCCGGTCACAGGCATGCAGGCGCTTATGATTATGCAACTGTAATGCCTGCAGCTGCTTGCTCCATCAGCAAAAGGGTCCGTCACTGGCTGTCTTTTGTGTCTTCTTTGAGCTGCACCGAAAGAAATCCCTTCAGGAAAGGAGACACAAAAGGACAGCATGCAGACTCCACACAAGCCAACAAACGACCTTGATGATGGTGGAACTATGATGTAAGCCTGGCAATCCAAGGCGATCTTTGAAATATCACACACACACATGCGTTCCCCATATTTCTCCACCACTGTTCCTCCCAAAGCCCGTACAATTGCTCCTTTAAAGTGTGTGTGGTCATCACCCGCTGCAGCATCGAACATCTCTTTTAGCTCGGTGATTGATACCTCCCATTCAGCTGTAGAAAAGCCCTCCTAGCAGCACAGCCATTTAGCCAGCAGCCTGAGTGATATTGATCTGCAAAGTCTGAAATGAGGGAAATTGAATAGCACCGCGGCTAATTGCATAGTAATGAAGGCAGAAGGGAAATAACCTCACACATTGTTAGCAATCGCACACTGTGACCTTGATTGCTAGGAAAGGAAAGATTCGGGAGGCCTGATAGTTGCAACGTGTTCGAGCTAAGATGTCATTTGCCCTCTCAACAGATGGTACAGTTCTGTATTCAATTAGAAAAGAGATGCACTGCATGTTGAGAGGCTATAAAATATGATATTTATTCTACAGCTATTGGCAGGTATTCCTTTTAGCAGCTATAGATACACATAAAAGGTTACCGTGGATGGTGGGGAGGATTTGGCACAATGAGTAACTACATGCGCTATCGATTTTTTTTTTGAGGAGCAGATCACTCTTAGTTTTGCTCATGTAAGACTAATGAACACATTATTGATTTCATGTCTGCTCATCAAAAACTGGGAACGCGGCCAAGCCCTGCGTCGTTTTGACGTCCGCTCATCTTTTTGAACCCACCACGACACCTGCATCTGCAATGCCATCCCCGTGTGGTGCACTGACTGCAAGCATCTGGAGCTGTTAACCCCATGCCAATACCAGGTCATGGCCGCCGCGCACCACTTGGTGGCAATGTTGAGCCACTGACTGGGGTCCGCGTGGCGAGGAAGGACTCCGACCGGGGAGGTGGGAAGGCTGCCAGTGATGTGGCAAAAACAGAGCCACTGTCAGGGTTTATGGTGAATCACAATGCAGCATCACAATGCTAGATAACAGCACTACATTTCTCTGTCGTTTATATGTTAGTTCCCATAAAAATCAAACCCGGGCATATGCACAAGAAGATACATACTGTAAATCAAATGAAATGTTGCTTCATACTAGTTTTTCATAAGCTGACAGTTATCCAGTCTCTCTTTCGCCCACACACAAACAAGCTGTGGAAACGACCCTCCAATTCCAATTTCAGCAGATAGACACTGAGTTGTGTTTCATATGTTTTCGCCTTCACGGTATGCGGGTTTTTCTTGACTTTGCCAAGAAAAAGAAATACATTTGTTATTTCGCATTAAAATCTACATCCACAGACACCTCTTGCTCAATTCGAGCAGCATAAACAAAATTGACGGCAAGTACAGTAAAACAAGTCAAATAGGCTCCAGTGAAAGTGCCTCCAGAGCTCTGCTTATCTGGCTTTGTCGACATTTAAGAAGCAGCTAGGCAAACAGTCTCGCACAAAGTCGAAAGGCGCTCCGTTAGACGGCCGCGGCCTTAATTGCATTAAGCTCAGTGCTGACTCTTGTGAAGCACTCAGGACTGTAGGGGGTTGGAATCCTCATTAGAGTAGAATCAGTTATGATGAACATTGCTTTAAGAAAATGTAACTTATGCCAAGGAAACCCAGTGGGATGTGACCCAGTCCTGTGGTTCTACTGTGTAACTTAAAAAAAATAATCAAAAATTAACAAAAAAAAAACCACTTCGATTGTCAGGTTAAATTCAGTGGTTTAAATGCTCTTAGGACTTTTCAGTGACTTCCTGAATGAAAGAGAACAAGAGACAATAACCAAGGTTATGTGTTACACTTATCGAAAAGCTGTGTAAAATCAGTCTCAGAGATCTTAGGAGTAAAAAAAACAACATAAGTAAAAGAGGCTCTTTGTAAAGCGAAGCCAAAGATGGATGTGAACCTCACCCACATTGCTGATAAATACTACCCTACCTGCAAATATGAAACTAATCAGAATAAGAAACATGCCAACCCTTCACTTGGTCTTCCACTCGCTCCGCTGCTGCCTGGAGAAGTCTCATTTAGCAATTGCTGATACCAAATCAAGTTACCGCGGCTTGGAGGATTGACACAAAATCAATGGCGTTGCATCTACAGCGGGCATTGCTCGCATATTTAATATTCCTGAAGCAGCAGGACAGAGGGAAGAAGAGAGGGAGGAAAGTGAACCTCAGCAGCAAGCAAGTGTGTTTTGACTGATGGACCCGTAGATTGTATCTCATGACCCTGGCGTCACTGATAACAATTCACCTCAGACTTATCTATGTACAACCTGCACGGCCAGGTCACCACTGCTGTTAGAGTTCCCTTACTAAAAAAAAAAAAAAAAGGAAGACAAGTTTTTCCCTGGGTGTACTCCACAATTCCCTTACCTTTCATTCCCTCTGCATTTTTGAAGATTAAAACCAGCACTTTGGTGCATATAACATTCCTGCATAGAGGTATTCATGAAAGCACAGATATGATAGGCTATAAAAGTATGCATGCATAAATGACTGCAATAAAGAGCTTTCTCTAAATGTGGGCTATCATCTCGCTGAAAGGTGAGTTATATTTCATGAGTGACTCATCAAATAGTCCTCTTTCAGTCCGGAGCAACCCAACAATCCAGGGATTTCTACCTTTTGTAGCTTTTCAATCCTTCTTTCATTCACTTATTTGTTACTTGTGTGTGTGTGGTGGAGGTCACATGGCTGATGTATAACTGGAGGGCATGAAATAATCTGTCTTATTTAGTATCCTTGGGATCTTTGGTTATTGTTTGAATATAACACCAAAACTAATGACATGAAGATTTGAGAGGATTGTTAATATTTAAATTAATGCCCACACATAGAGCTTTGCTGTCCAAGAAGCGTAAAATATGTAAAACCTCCGTTTTGGCTAAATACAAATGACGGTTGAGTAACTCTGGGGCACTTCTGATCATCTCTTGACCATCCCTTTGGTACTCATTAGGCAAACACATGCTGTGGGTTATTCACTTACAGATTTAAATCATTCATGGTGGGCCTTTACTGGTGAAGCTCCAGCATGTGAAATCTAAATATATTCTGTAAGATCACTTTTTACGATCTTGCCCACATGCATGGTCAGTATTAAGAATTGAATTCAATAAAGGCCAGTGGAAAAATAACTAGATTTAGGATTTGTTGTTGAATGATGCATAGTGTGTATTTTTCAGTGGACCCCAAACATAAGGTGTGAAGTCCAAACATATTGACATCCTGCCTCATTTTGCTTTTAAAGTAACCTAGAAAATGGCAAATAACCTGCACTATGAATATTTTAACCAACAGTTAATATGATGCAGTCTGGCCACAGCTACTTTCCTGTGGTGGAAAAAGCCTCCAAATCCTGCTGATAGACAAAGCCATCTAGTTGAAATGCAGAAAAAGGGCTTCAATACCCTTGGGACGAGGTCCCAAGGTACTCTGAGGACAGAAAGACTGCAATACATGCGCTCTTGGAAGCAAAAACTTGAGTTTTGCTGAAGTTTTGGGGTTCCATAGAGACATTTTTTCTTGGCAAATCACCAGGTGACTCAGTTAGTGGAAGTAGAGCCTCGCCTAGGCTGTTCTCAGCTGGAGATAAGAACTTCTGACCTCGACTCAGGATATAGTCAGGCAAAGGAAGGACATCTAATACAACTC